GAAACCCCGGGGCCCTTCCTCTCTGCCGATCCTCACCACACAGTCTGCAAACCCATGATATGTCTGCACCTGCACAGAAAATAGAGGAAATGAGTATTAAACTATTCACGTGTTTTTGAAAGAAATCTCTTATGCCTCTCTCTAATGCCTTAGGGTTTAGACATTAACAACAGTAATAGTGAAGTCAGTCTAGCAAGCAGAAATAGTTATCGTAGGGACATTGAACCTTCAGTCTTTTGGTTAGCAGCTCAGATCTTTAACCACTACAGCGCTCCACCCACCTGTCCAAACTTCATCCTGGCCTCTTCAAATCCACCCACTTGAAGTCTCTTCTTAATCAGATCAAAGGGATACGTGATTGTTTTACTGATGACTCCAGCACAGCTACCACTGATCAGACTGTGTAAACCTCCTGAAAACAGACAAGACACCACAGCAACGTCAACAGCTGGACAGAAAGCACCTCACACAAGGTTTGAATTCAGTGTTGATTCATAGATATGTGCTTTAAGGACAGTGTTGATATTGTAAACTAAAACTATTATAAATGGCTTCCGCTGAAATAAATAATAAAATATAAATATTAGATGAGAAAAACTTGCATTTAAAAATATTAACTGAAAATGAGAGATGTTGCCCTGTCAACTAAATGAAATAAAATGTAATTGAAAAAGTTTATGTTGAAGAACTAAAACTACTAAAACTAAAAATGAAAAAAAAAAGGAACTAAATGAATAAATAAAAACAAATTAAAATGTAAAAAACCACATAATGAAATCACTAAAGCTTTTTAACTAAAATAAAAATGAAAACTGAAAATATAAAAATAAAAGCTAATTGGCTGAACTTTATTAAAGAAAACAAACAAATAAAGAAATAAAAGCTAATTCAAAATATTAATAAATATCATAATAGTACATTCAAGACTGAAACAACACTGTTTAAAAAGCATGCTCTGACCTTTAGATTTGGTGTCCTGGGGCTCCAGAAGTTTCTTCAGGATATTATAAAAGAAAAACTGCATGCCTGCGTAAGGAAACACGGCCACTAGGGTGGGTGTGAGGCCCCTGTAGAAGGTGAAGGGCCCCTCTGTGCGGAACATTGTGGCCACGGCATGCCTGAGGTTACGATACATCTGTACATATGAGAAAACCTTTGAATTGTGGGAAGTTTCTCATTAAAGCCTACCAGAGAGTGGAATAATATATGACCTTTTAAAATGAACTCAGTTTTCCACCCTTTCAGATGCACTCAGACACAGCGCATTAAAAATATAGCTATAACAGGTCATATCACACTCCTGAGGCTTGACCCCTGACCTTGGGTTCGCCCTGAGCAGCGAAGCGTGTGCGGAGGGTATCCAGCGGCTGGCAGGCGACGGTGGCGGAGCAGGCGGCCAAACCGCCGCAGATGAAATGCACTCCTGGTGTCTGGCTCTTATAGCTCGTCTTCTTATGGACCAGCTCTGTCAAGGCTTCAAAACTCGCAAACTACCACAAAAAAGACAAAGAGAACCAATGAGGTTTAAGGGTATTTGTCAAATGTCTACAATTGTGTGAAGGATGACCACAGATGCTTGATCCATCTTTCTAAATTACTAAATAGGATAAGCCACATGTCTACATAGAATTGAATAGAATATAAGAAAAATTGAATATGGATTCCTTTATTGCTACAAGATCAAAGCAGAATATAATAGAATATAACATTTATTGCTACATCAACAGACCAGTATTATTTATATTAACTAAAACTATAATTAAAAAAATTAAAACATTTCCATTAATTGAAATAAAGCTGAAATAAAACACTACATATAAGATGAAAAACTTAAAAAAAAATGTAAGCAAAAATCAGAAATGTTGATATAATTGAAATAAATGTTTATGTTTATTAAAATGACTAAAACAAAAACTGAAATAAAAATGAATTAGAAACTGAATAAAACAAATAAGTAAAAAAGAAATAAAAATGACAAGCACATACAAAAACTAAAAATAAAGAAATATATACATAAGCAATTCAAAATGAACAAATAAAACATTGAAATAAAAATAAATGAAAGCTCAAATAGAAATATATATATATAAAAAATAACAAGTACATAATAAAATCATTAAAATATTTGAATTAAAATGAAAATAACTAATTCGAAATATGAATATCTACTATAGTAGTATATGAATAATACTAAAATAACACTGATGAGGACAAAATGTATCTTTATCTCAACAGAATAGAATAGAACAGAATAGAATAGAATAGAATAGAACAGAATAGCAGAATAGAACAGAAGAGAAACTTTTTCTACCCTTACAATAGGATCAGTTTACAGTTTGTGGCTTAATAATTGAACAGGAAGATGATTCTGGCCTCATGAAAATTGTACGTATATTGTGAATATATATGATTTATCTCCACATACCTGAACTGCCCCATAACACACCGACAGCAGCTGGGCAGGAGTGTGACCTTTCCAGAAAGCAGGAAGTCCTTCTTCAGTCATAATACAGCGTGTGGCCTGCCATAAACCCCAGTACTTCCCCTGACGACTCCTCCAGGACACCTGCTCGATCTGCAACTGCAGCATGCACAAAACAGTCAAAACGGTCCTGCTGTGTCACAATAAAGACCAGTTTGAATGTCTAAAAGTGTAACACACTGCCACCTTGAGGCCTGTCCACCAGTTGCTACGGCAGAGAAACTACAAACTAAATCAAGCACAAAACAGCTCATCGGCTGCATCTCCTGTGTGCATTTATAACCAGTTTAAAGCAGATGAACGGGCTTCTTTGAACTGAGCATGCTCAGTGCAGCCGTGGGTTTGGGAGTGGTGCTAAAATTCCACAGGAAAACGTGACTCATGTTTTAGGCACAATGAAGCTTATGCGAATCAGATGTACTAGAACAGGGACTATTGTGTTAGCTATCGATGAAAACAACTTTAGTTGAATGTGTTAATATTTATGTTTTCATGTACAGAAAAACAGTTCGGAAACCCAAGAGCCCTTTGGCTCAGTGAAATGGAAGTTGTTACCTGAAATCTGATTTTGATGACATCCAGAGGGCTGATGAGGGCACGGGTGACCATACCTGCCGCTGACCCGGCCAGAGCAGCTTCCTCTGGGGAGAGAACCACGCCGGGGGAGTCTGGATCATAGCCCACCATTCCTGCTCAGAAACACAGCCACCGCCGGTGGAAAAACAATCAGTGGAATTAAATCAAATAAAAAATAAGAAAATAACATATTCAAAAATTATATAAAAACAATCTGGCTGATGTGGATGTATAATAATTTGAGTGGAATACATTTAAATAATGCAAGTAATAAAATAAAAAAATGACAAATTATAATATGAAAATAAAAATCAATATGACTGGTGTGCATGGATGGAAACTGCAGATAAATAAATCAAATAATAAAAATAACATGAAAATATCAAAGATATTTAAGTTATTTTTGGTTACACTTTATTTTAAGGTGTCCTTGTTACAGTGTAATTATACATTTACTGAGAAATATTAATTCAATACATGAGTTTACTATATGGTTAGGGTTAGGATTAGGGTTTGTCTTAGGAGTACTTGCATGTAATTATGCATATTTTTTGTTATTATAATAGTAAGTACATGTAACGTGCAACAAGGACACCTTAAAATAAAGTTTGCCGTTATTTTATATTTAGTATTTTCAAAATATAAAAACATGTATGTTAAATTTGCTCAACATGACAGCAGTTGACAAAAACACAATGGCTGCGTTTCAAAACCTATTGAGCTGCCTATCTAGACAGTGTTTAGATGGGCAGCTTTAGATGCTTTCGTCTGGAAAATGCAATTGATGCCCAAAATGTTGTCTTGGTAAGCAGCTCTTTGTGGTTTGAGACACAGCCAGTGTTGCGCTGCTGCTACTAAGTTACACACACAGTAGACGCTTACAAATACAGACTCGCGAAAACGTAAACATACCTTTCTGGTGTGCACTTCAGTGTTCCTCTGTAGAATCTGCTCTTGGTGAAGTTCTCTTATGAGTGCATAGCAGCAGTGTGATGTTAGAGGACACCTCCTCATGCTCCTCTGCTGCACACAGACCAATGACAGAGCGGCACGACTGTGTTTACTGACCGTGTCTGACTCCACACCGAGCACATTGGTTCCTACCTTTTTATTTTAATTGTAGTACTTTTTATTTCATTTTGAATGTATTGACATTTAATTTAATAAACGTTTTATAATAATTGATTTAACACAAAAATAAAATAATAAAATAAAGTAAATCAATAAAAGGGAATAAAAAGATTTTTTAATACACATCGGGGGTAAAAAGTAGTTACAGTCATTACATTAATTATTCGTGGAAATGTTCGTTTTTATTGATGTTAAGTAGTTAATCTTAAAATGAAAATATAAACATGTGCTCATAAAGCTGAGGTGAAAAATTTACCCCCCCCCCCCCC